CCTGGAACGCGGCTCCTGGGCTCCAGCGTGGTTCTGACGTGGTTTTTCCGGAATGTTCCTGGAATGCTGCCGGGAATTGGGAGCGTTGCTTTGTTCCCTCCAGGCTGTGCCAGGGTTGGGATCGGTGTGGGCAAGGATTCCATGTGGGAACGCCGGGACGGTTTTTGGGATTGGGACCAGGCCCAAAGTGGTTCCAGCTCTTCAATACAGATTTTCCAAACCTCTTCCCGGTCTCCTTTTTCCAGGAAAAAGCCCCGGAAAAAATGGGAAAAACGGGGGGGGGGAATTCTCAACGTAACGGAAAATTCCCGTCGTGGAATTCCGTCCTGGAAGGGAAATGTTTGGGAATGGTGGAGGAAGGGGGAGTTTGGGAAGAAATTCCGGGTTTATTCCTGCTCTGGATCCCCTTGGGAATTTGGGAATCTCCGACTGGATCCCCTTTGGCATTCTGGAATCCCTGAGACCTCTTGGGTCCCCTTTGGCATTCCCAAATCCCTTTGGGCTCCTGATTCCTGAGATCTTTGGGATTCCCAAATTCCTGGAGATCTGCTGGATCCCCTTTGGGATTCCTGAACCCATTGGGGTTAAAAATTCCGAGATCTTTGGGATTCCCAAATCCTTGAGGCTTCTGGAATTCCGGAATCCCAGAGATCTCTTGGATCCCCCTTTGGAATTCCCAAATCCCAGAGATCTCTTGGATCCCCCTTTGGAATTCTGGAATCCCAGAGATCTCTTGGAGTCCCCTTTGGAATTCTGGAATCCCAGATACCTCATGGATCCCCCTTTGGCATTCCCAAATCCTGAAGATCTCTTGGATCCCCCTTTGGAATTCTGGAATCCTGAAGATCTCTTGGGTTCCCCTTTGGAATTCCCAAATCCCAGATATCTCATGGATTCCCTTTTGGCATTCCCAAATCCCAGAGATCTCTTGGATCACCCTTTGGAATTCCCAAATCCCAGAGATCTTTTGGATCCCCCTTTGGCATTCTGGAATCCCAGATATCTCATGGATCCCCCTTTGGCATTCCGGAATCCCAGAGTTCTCCCGGATCCCTGGGAACACCCCCCACCCTTGGATTCCCACGGATCCCTCGGGATCCTGGATTCCGTTTCCCGCTCTTGCCGAGCTTCGCTGCATGAGCCGCTCCGGGGCGGCTCCGGGTCCGGGGGGTCCCTAAAGCCATAAAATTCCCGCCGGGATTTGGGGATTTTCCAGGACGCCGCGGAGAACCAGGAAGCGCCGTTGTACTTTAGGTTGTAGCAACTCGTGAAATAAAGAGATCCCGGATTTTCCAGGGAGAATTCCCGCGGTGGAACCGGGGAGCCCTGTGGTTTTTCCTTGGATTTCGTCGTTCCCGACGGTCGGGATTGGGAATTTCACCGTGGGGGAAAAAACAAACAAAAAAAAAGGGGGTTGGAATTTTTTTTTCTATCCAAGGGTTTTCTTCCTTGGCGTTCCCAGCTCGGAAAAAAAAAGGTGAATTCCCAAATTTTTTATATCCCGGGGATTCCTGTGCCTGCCATTCCTGGGGAAAACAACAGAAATCCAAAATTCCAGCGGATTCGGGATTGGGTTTTATTCCGTGTCTGGTTTTATCCTCATTTTGGGAATTCTTCCTTTACCCCTGGATTCTCCCAGCGATTATCCCATTTTTTGGCAGGGGGAGGAATTGGAATTGAATTCCCGAAGTTGAATCCCAGATGGAAACCGGGAATTCAGGCTGGAGGAAAGGGTGAAATGGGGGAAATTCCAGGAGATTTGGGGGGAAAACCCAAATTTGGCTCCTTTTTCCCTCTCCTTTGGGAAGGAGGGAGAACAGGGTGGGGTTTTTATTCCTTGGATTTGTTGGGACTCAAAACATTCCAGAATAAATTCCAACATTTAATAATTCTCACTAATCCCACCAGTGGGAGGATCCAGAATTGATCATTCATTAATAATTAATCGATAATTAATTTGGGGGCTCGGAATTGGAATGATAATAAACAGAGAAGCTCCTGGGTCTGCCTCATATTCCCGGGAATTTGGGGGTCGGGATGGATCTCACGGATCACCCAGACGGAGCCGGATCTGCTCCTTCCTCTCCTGAGGATTATTCCCAAAAAAAATCCCGGGAAGACGAGAGAATGGGAAAAGAGGGCGGCAAAAATCCGGGAGTTTTGTGGATTTCTGTGGAATTTTGTGGAGCAGCTTCAGAGGCGCGTCGCGGCGTTCCGGCGGAGCAAATCCGTAAATCCATCCAGCCTCTCCATTCCCGCCTGGAATTCCTGCTCCAGCAGCCTTGGATTTCACCTGGACATTCCCGGAAAAGTCACGGAGCCGTTGGAGCGTTTCCCTCTGGAATGAGAACGGGCCAAGCACATTCCCAGATGGATTTTTCCCCCGATTCCGGATAAAATCCAAATTCCCGGAGCCTGGGAAGAGCCACGGCCACGCGGGAATTCCCATGGAATTGTCCCGAATTCCCATGGAATTGTCCCGAATTCCCGGGCAGCAGTGGAGTCTGGCCACGCTCCGGGATAGGGAAAAGGAGGGATCAGGGAATGGATCCCGCTGCAGGTGAAGCCCAGCCTGGAAAATTCCAGGAAAATTCCGGATGTTTGGGGTTTCCCAGCCCGTATTCCCGTTGGGATTGCCGGGGAATGTCGGGAATGGATCCCGTGTGAGCGGAGATGATCCCAAGGAATTGAGGGATCCCGTGGGATGGGAGGATGATCCCACAAAGTGACGGATCCCATGATGGCTGAGGATGATCCCAAGGAATTGTGGATCCTGGTGGGTGGGAAGATGATCCCAAGGAATCCGAGGATCCCATTGGATGGGAGGTCGATCCCGAGGATCCCATTGGAGGGGAGGTCGATCCCGAGGATCCCATTGGATGAGAGGTCGATCCCGAGGATCCCATTGGATGGGAGGACGATGCCGAGGATCCCATTGGATGGGAGGTCGATCCTGAGGATCCCATTGGATGAGAGGTCGATCCCGAGGATCCCATTGGAGGGGAGGTGGATCCCGAGGATCCCATTGGATGGGAGGTCGATCCCGAGGATCCCATTGGATGGGAGGACGATCCCGAGGATCCCATTGGATGGGAGGACGATCCCGAGGATCCCATTGGATGGGAGGACGATCCCGAGGGTCCCATTGGATGGGAGGTCGATCCCGAGGGTCCCATTGGAGGGGAGGTGGATCCCGAGGATCCCATTGGATGGGAGGTGGATCCCGAGGATCCCATTGGATGGGAGGTCGATCCCGAGCCCCCCCGGGGTTTTATCGTGGCATCGCCCTTTTAAGCGCACGTTGCCCCTTTAAGCGCCGGCCCCACCGCTCACGTGGCCGCCCCACGTGAGTTTCCCGCGCGCGGGAAGGGGGCGGTGCGGCGCGGTGACGTCATCGGGCAGCGTCGCAATGGCGGCGCCGAAGGTGAAGCAGGACATGGCCCCGCCGGGCGGCTACGGCCCCATCGACTACCGGCGGCACCTGCCGCGCCGCGGCCTCTCGGGTGAGCCCGGGGGAGCACGGGGGGGCACGGGGGGCACGGAGCGGGGCCGGGCGGGCTGAGCGGGCTGAGCGGGCTGGGCGGGCTGAGCGGCCCTCACTGCCCCTCACTCCCCTCACTGCCCCTCACTGCCCTCACTGCCCTCACTCCCCTCACTGCCCTCACTGCCCTCACTCCCCTCTCTGCCCTCACTCCCCTCACTCCCCTCACTCCCCTCACTGCCCTCACTCCCCTCACTCCCCTCACTCCCCTCACTCCCCTCACTCCCCTCACTCCCCTCACTGCCCTCACTGCCCTCCCTGCCCTCACTGCCCTCACTGCCCCTCACTCCCCTCACTGCCCTCACTGCCCTCACTGCCCTCACTCCCCTCACTCCCTCCCGCCCCTCGCAGGGTACAGCCTGTTCGCGCTCGGCGTTGGGAGCCTCCTGCTGGGTTATTACACCCTCGTCAAGTGGAACCGCGAGCGCAGGTGAAGC